CTTAGGCTCAAGCGATTCTCTTGCTTCAGCCTCCCAAGTAGCTGGGACTACAGGCCTAAGAAACAACATCCCACGTAGTTTTTCTGTTTTCAGTAGAGACAGGGTCTCGCTCTTTCTCAGGCTGGTCCCAAGCTCCTGAGCTCAAGCGGTTCACCATCCTTGGCCATCCACAGGCATGAGCCACCACGACCGGTCAGTTCTTGGCTTTTATTTTTATTTTTATTTTTAGAGACAGAGGCTCATTCTGTCACCCTCAGTAGAGTGCATGATGTCACAGCTCACAGCAACCTCCAGCTCTTGGGCTTAGGCGATTCTCTTGCCTCAGCCTCCCAAGTAGCTGGGACTACAGGCACCCGCCACAATGCCTGGCTATTTTTTGTTGCAGTTTAGTCGGGCAGGGTTTGAACCCTCCACCCTCGGTATTTGGGGCCGGCACCCTACTCACTGAGCCACAGGTGCCACCCCAGTTCTTGGCTATTAAATCTAAAAAATACAATATGGGTGGTAGCCCAGTGGTTACGGAGCCAACCACATGCACCCAGGCTGGCGGATTCGAACCCAGCCCTGGCCTGCTAAACAACAATGACAACTGCAAAAAAATAGCTGGGTGTTGTGGCCAGCACCTGTAGTCCCAGCTACTTCAGAGGCTGAGGCAAGAGAATTGCTTAGGCCCAAGAGTTTGAGGTTGCTGTGATCTACGACACTATGGCACTCTACTGAGGGTGACAAAGTGAGACTCTGTCTCAGAAAAAAAAATACAAATGTGTATATTCATGGAGGATGCTGGTCTTAGGTCACTCTGGAGGATGATTCCTAGTTCTTGGCTCCCAATGTCAAGAATGAGCACTAGCACCAAGCTGATGACAGAGTGATCACAGACAGAGAGATCACCAGCAACATACATTTATTGCAGAACAAAACACACAAAGTACAAGAAGAATACATCCCAAGAGTGAGATGGAGCCCTCTCTATGAGTGGAGAAGAGATCCTGAAGTCAGAATACAAACTGTCTTTTATAGGCTAACTAAGCTGACTAGTTTGTTGCACCTTTCCCCTGGCAGGATTGGCTATTGCCTCCTGCCTTTGGGGTAATTGACAGGTTGAGATTATGTCATAAAACTAAATACCCATTCCATCCTCCATCAAACCTTCCTGAAGAATGCATGGGGGTGCAAGTTTAATTCTATAATAATGGGCCCAGGATGGTGTAATTGTCACTAGGAGCTCCTCATTGCCTGTTTCAATTGGGGAACAGTCCCTAGCTAGTAACTTGGTTCCTGCTCCCTGCTGCCAGCCATACCCCTTCCTTAGTCTTCTGTCCCATGAAGGAGAAACCTGGGGCTGGGGCAGTATGTCTCCTCCCAGGCCTAGAGGCTCTCAGGAAGAGAAAGTGGGGGCTGAGGCAGCACATCTCCCCCCAAAGAGGAAAGCTATGGGCTGAGATGGCACATCTTCCCCCTTAGGCACAATAACCCCAGACAGAGGGATAGGCTGTGTGTAGCGGAGGTGCAGTGGCTCTGCTGGACCTGTTGCCCACTGCCTCCACAGCTGCTGGAGATTCTCCATCTGGTTGCTGTGGCTCCCCCCTCCAGGGTCACAGCAGAAGCCTCTACTGGCAAGGGAGGCACCTTTATAGGGTTCCTGCTTCCTGGTGGTTTGGGCCTGCTCTGCATGAACCTGGCTCTGATCTGGGGCCTAACTGTTTTTGAGCAGGAGTCAGCCAACCTCCTCATTTACCAGCAAATAAACTTCTCTTTTCTTCTCCTGAAACTTCTTGTCCCACTTTTGTTTGTTTGTTTGTTTGTTAATACAGAGTCTTACTACACTGCCCTAGCTAGAGTGCAATGGTGTCAGCCTGGCTCAGAACAACCTCAAACTGATGGGTTCAAGTAATGTTTCTGCCCTAGCCTTCTAAGAACTCTGGGCCCAGTTTGTAGAATGTTTCCATTTCAGCCTAACTACTCCACACTGCGAGGGGGGGCTCTGTCGTCTTCCCCACGCAATGGATTGTCCCTGCTTCTTCCAGGATCTGGTCACAAGCATGTTTAGTGAATTCCAAACTCAGCATCCAGTGAACGGATCCTGTCACCTCAGAGCAGAAGGGAGCTGGAGGGAACAGGAGGGAGCCAGATCAGTCTGGGCCAGACTGGAACAGGACAGAAGGCCTGATGTCCTCCTGAGGTCAGTAATCTGGGATGAGGCATGGCCAAGGCTACCTCACAATACCCTCTGTCTCGTCTTACAGTGTGCAAATGCTCCCTCCTTCAAGTACCTCATTTTCATTTCCTGGAAACTCTCACCTGGAGTCAGATTAAGCTTCTGATGTAAATAAACTCAAATTCTTAAACCCTTTCTCCAGGGGACAGTTCCATACTATTCTTTATCAAAGTAACCTTCACAAAGTTTCCTTATACATAGAAATTACATTCTGATTGCAGCAGCCCTGTGCATGCCACAACTGAAACACTGTTCAGAAAATGGCCCTGTCTCCTGATATCCAAGCTCAGAAACACAAAAGCCCCTAGGCACATCTGCATGTGTGTCCCCTGCTGTCCTGTGCTCTGGCGCTTCTGGGAGTCCACTCTCATGTGTGTTTGTACTGAGCAGCTGGAGCCCTGCAGGGACAAACTGCCAGGAGGAGGCTGCCAGGAAGCCAGAGGGAGCCCCATGTCCTTCCCTCTGTAGCTCCAAACTGGTGTCAGCTTGGAGCCACTGGGCAGCAGCCTGAGGTCCTGCTGCCCATGTGGTGTTCACCTCCTTCTCACTTACCCACACTGAGCAGATAAAGGGGCAAAGCCTCTTAATCTCAGTGTTAGAATAAGACACTAGCAGGGCCCCTGCTTTCCTCCTGTTTTTGTGTATAAAGTGGAGGAGGAAGAATCTAATGTAAGTATATTGAAAATATTTCCACATGGTGGCAGGGACTGCAGCAGCCAGTGAGGGACCCAGGGCTGGAGACAGCCTCACCTCAGGACAGGCAGAGACTGACTAGGGAGGGACAGTAGGCCAAGTTGGTCACAGGGGCCTGGGACACAGGCCTGGCAGCAGGACCCACTCTACTTCTCAGCCTAAAGCTAGGAGCCTAGGCTGTGGTTGGGGAGTTGGAGGGGTCGCTGGAGCCTAGCTCTGGTGAGTCCAGACTCTGTGGATCCGGTCTGGGGCAGTGGATCCTAGTGTGGTGGGCCCTAGGGATGCAGAGCTGAAGCAGACTGGAGGCCATGGCTCAGGGCTCAGGACTGAGAAAATAGGCTTGGAAGTGGTCAAGTCAGAGGGAAGAAAGGTGTGTTTCGGGGGATGGAAGTGAATGCATAGTGGCAGAGACCAGGCCAGGGGCCGGGTGAAGTTCAAAGCCTGCAGGTTCTGGGTGTGGGCATCATTTTCTATATAAGTCAGCTTTAAGAGTTACAGTAATTTAGTTACAGTTTGCTATCTTCTCCAGCTGCCTATTTCCTTTTTGTTAAGTTGGTATTACTTCATTTTTATGAAATTTCATTTTATTTCATTGTCATTTAAATCAATGTGTTTAGCATTCCATTTAAAAAGATCATAATAAATCTTTGTGTGACAAAGGGAAGAAAGAAGTTCATCTTTAATGAAGATTGGCCCTGAAGAGGGAAGTGTTCTTCCCTGGCTGGCTTTAGTCATTTGATAGCAACCACTGTTAACCTGGCTGGCTGTTTCATGCAGGCTGCAGCTGGATAGCCCCTAACAAAGCTGGGTGAGCCTACATGCTGACATCTGCAGATTGTTTATCCATGACCAAGGCCTGCTGTCATAGATAAGTTGAGAAACTGGACTCTATGGTACCATTCAAGGATCCAGAGCTCTCTGAGCACCCAGTGAAGCACTAATTTCTAAGTAAAAATGCTTTGCAGATACAGCCACCTTGAAAGCAAGAGATGCTTTGACTTTGTAGCCTATAAGGGGAGGATCTGTTTAATGTACGCTACGATGATTAATGACACTACTGATGCATGCACAGTAATGTGAAGGTATAAAAATAACAAAAAGAAATGAGGGCAGAACAGCTCTTTTAGGAGATATCTTTGTGGTTCTCTCTGGAATTGCTGGCTTTTCTGTAAATAAAAGTGAAACTATTCATCTCTCATCTGCTTTTTTTTTTTTTTGAAACACAGTCTCCCTTTGTCACTCTGCATAAAGTGCTATGACATCATAGCTCACAGCAACCTTGGGCTTGAGTGATCCTCTTGCCTCAGCTTTCCTAGTAGCTGGGACTACAGATGTGAGCCACTATGCCTGACTAGTTTTTCTATTTATAGTAGAGATTGGGGTCTTGTTCTTCCTCAGGTTGGTCTCGAACTCCTCAGCTCAAGGGATCCTCTGGCCTCAGCCTCCCAGAATGCTAGGATTACAGGTGTGAGTCACTGTCCCTGACCTTAGACCCATCATGTTTTATTTGTTTCATAGAGATAAGACATTCATGAAATGAATGCAGGCAGAGGCAGGGAGAAACAGAGTCTCACTTTATCACCCTTGGTAGAGTGCCATGGTGTCACACAGCTCACAGCAACCTCCAACTCCTGGGCTTAGGCGATTCTCTTGCCTCAGCCTCCCGAGTAGCTGGGACTATAGGTGCCCACTGTAATGCCTGGCTATTTTTTTTGTTGCAGTTTGGCCGGGGCCGGGTTTGAACCCGCCACCGTCGGTATATGGGGCTGGCGCCCTACTCACTGAACCACAGGCACCACCCAAGGACCAAGTACCTTTTTAATGGTGGCTTTGTGGTCAATAATCATTGGACAATAAACAAGCCACAGAATTTGCCAATTGAGAAAGGAACAGTAAGAAACAAAACAATCTCCCTCCCTCCCTCCCTTCTTTCCTCCTCCCTTTCTCCCTCAATCTCCATTGCCCAGGCTAGTGCAGTGGTATCATTGTAGCTCACTGCAGCCTCCTGCTCCTGGGCACAAGAGATTTTTCTTCCTCAGACGATCAAGTAGCAGGGACTGTAAGAGAGACACAGCCTCAGTGCCCTCACCCCCAGGCTGTAATAATGATCTAAGTTACAGTCGGTCACATCAGCCAGTTTCTGCCCTGGTTCTGACACCGTGAAGCTGAAGAAAAAAACAATAGATGAATAGCTTGGGAGAGTAACAAACACGGAGTCCTTCAGCTAGAGATCAGAGGGCTGGATGATGTATAGCTAGAGATAGTAACTTTGGAGAGGGTATAAGAATTCTGTCAAAGGAAGGCAGGCTTTGAGAATGATCTCCCTGTCTTCCTGGAAATCTGAATCTTAGAAATAAAGTACAACTTTAGTCCACTAGCTCCTGGTTCCCTTGCTCCATTACAAATGTGATACCTAATGTGGGGCGATGCCTGGAGGCTTGCGGTAAGTATCAGGGTTCTCCTTACCTGGCATAACTCTGGGTGATGGGGAGAGAGGGAACTTGAGAAACCTGACTGGGACTCTGCTCCAGAAAAGCACCTCTAGGACACTGCTCCTCCAGAAGCACCACTAGGATGTTTGTCCTTAGGACTTGTTGACAGGTCGAATTCATAGCCCTCATCTCTAAGGTGAAGTCTGGTAATGAGTGCACTATTTCTGATTTCGAGTATACCCTCTGTTTCTGCTTGTGCATGTACCTGGTTACGAGGGCACTCTGCTTCTCAAGGTGCTCCCTGCCTCTGCCTGCATACGCACCTGTTGTCATATGGTCTGTGTGTACACCTGGTATGTGGCCTCTATGTACACACTGGTTTATAGGTGCTCTCTTTGATGATGAGTGCATTTTCTGCTTCTGGCTCTGTTGTTAATATACCTGGCATCTGTCTGTATATATACCTGGTATTTGTCTCTCTGTGTGTGTATATACCTGAAGGTATGCCCATGTGGGTGAATCCTGCCAGTTTGGACCACTTATGGATTACCCATTAACTAAAAGGAAATTAACATTCTATTCTAACACTGTTTAGTGTATGTATGTTTTGGGATCAGGGGAAAGATGGCCCTTGAATAGTTATCTTGATTATTATACTATTTTATAGCTTGAATTATTTTGTCAAACAATCAGGAAAATGGAATAAAATTCCATATGTACAGCCTTTTATGTCCTGACAGATGCAAGAAAAGAAAGGAATCTTCTGGTAGTTCAGAGAACATAGGGAGAAAAGTCAAAACTCGGGAGAAAAGGGCTACGGTTCAGGGCAAGGGTGATCACTGTGAACTGGTAAGCAAGATGGATGAGGCTTGTGTGGCCAATACTCCCGTGCTCCTGTAAGCTCCAGAAGGGGAGCTGAGAGAGTCAACCCCTCCTTACCCAACAAAAGAGGTCCTGGAGGTGGTATCCCCATCTAAAACCTGTCAGGGAACTCAATTAGGCCAGAAAGCCAGCCAGGAGGAGGTAGATTTCAAGGCTTTCTTTTCACTTTAGCCCTGCTGAGTTTTACACTTGGTGGACTTTCTGGTCTACGTACATTCTGCCT